GTGATTATCACGACTCATCAATATTGTTTAACCTTATATGCGATCTCTATTTATATAGTGTCCATATACGTCTCTATTAAATTTTAACATGTCTTTGGGTCCCCAAGTATATATATATGCATTACATTAACAGGCAGGGTTGACAGAAACCAAAAGGGGGAAAAGGGCATTTTTACCCCGTTAAGGGATCTGGAAAGGGGGGGGATTTGGGGTGGGGGGGGCCCCCCAAAAAAACCCCCCCCCCCAAAAAAAAAAAAAGGGGCCCCCCCCCCCGGGGGAAAAAGGGAAACGCCACTTTGTTTCCTTTTGGTCCAAAACCAAACTTTTTTTTTTTAAAATTTTTCCCCCCCGGGGCTTTTTGGCGGGGGCCCAAAAATTAAATGAGCTTTTGAACGCCAAGCTTTCCAAGAGGTTTTTTTCGGGAGAAGTTTTTTGGAGGAAGGGTTGGTTTTGGCCCCTTTTTTTTGGGTTTTTTTTTTGGGGCCGGGGGGGTTATAGGTTTTTTGCGGGGGCCTCGGTTTCACCCCTTCCTCACTGACTCAATATGAAAACGCATAATAAAAAGAAGATTTTTTGTTTTTAAATAGGGGAGTGGTAGAATATTGGGGGGTCGCCCCAGCTGAAAAAAAAGAGGTAAGAAAAGGGGGAACCCACCTTATTTGAAAAAACTTAAGGAGATCGGGCCCCAAGTTTCTGAAATGCCCGGGTGGGGGTAGGGGCCCTTCTTTTTTTCTAAAAAAAACCCATCTTTTACCTCGTCTAATCTTTTCTCTTGGCGAAAAATTTATTTACACCATAAATTTACCCTTATTTATCCATTTAAATAGGTCCTTGGGTTTTTAAAATTTGTACATCTTTGGGTTTTAATTAAATTATTAAAACGAGGTTGAACGGGAAGTTTAGTAGTTTAACGCATATTTTCTACAAACTAGGTAAATTTGTAAAGATTTTTTTTTTTGGGTGTTCAAGGTTTTTTGGCTTTAATGGTTTATAGTCCGAACAATTTATAATACCTTTAGTTTGAAAAAGGGGTTCAATAGGTTTCATCTTATTCACATGGTTACTTATTTATTGTTAAGCTAATTGAAAACGAAGATAAATTTTGTATTACATTTGATTGATTTAAAAATATTGTTTGTGGGGTAATTTGAAAATTTTAAAACAGCCCTTTAAAAAAACCATTTTTGCCTAAACCCTTCTTTCGTCATAATGTTAAAGGGAACGTCAACTTCTTTAATTATACTCGCCAAAGTCGGGATTCCAACTTTTTTAAATTTTTTCTTTTTTCTTCACTCTTTTCTCCTTTGTTTTTCATCTTTTTGTTTCAAAGTTTTACAGCAAAGAGATTATTGGGATTTACTTAAATTAACAAGCTGAAACGGTTTTTTGGTTCCCAACTTTTTAAAAAAAGTTATTAAAATTTATTGAAGACAAAATTTTTTAGTCAGGAAACCCATTATTTCGGGATAAATTAGCCTGGACCTTTAATTGAAACGACTTATTTCCTTTGGCCTTTTTGCACGATGATTTTAAATTTATTAAAAATTGGGAATAAATTCCAGATGGAATTAGTTCCCAAAGGGGTCAGAAGATGAAATTGTGGCTTTTGTTCTCTTTTACTTTTCACCTCCTGTGATACAATTGTGGTCATTGCGGTGGATATAAATCCAGTTCTTTTCCTTTTTAAAAAAAATTTTTTTATTTTTTTTTTTTTTTTTTTGTTTTTAACATTTAAATTTTTAATTCGCCCTAATTTTATTGCGATTAAGGTAAGGATTAATTGAACTAAACCTTTATTTGGTCGCGCCAGGGGTTCTTTTATCATCCCTAAAACATTTTCCTCTTCCCCCTTTTCCTTTCTTCCTCTCTTCTCGTTACACATTAGTTGTAGAAGGTCCCTAGCTATTCCCGGGTTTTTTCCGGGTTAAGGGATCCCAAAATTTAACAAGAAAAAGTTTTTTTCGTTCCTCTTGGGGCTAAAGCTTTTTTTCACGTGTCCCAAGGGACCCATGGATGATTTTGGACCAATATTGGGCCGCATTTACGATCAACACTTTTCTGTTGAATCTAATGTTACGATTTTCCAGATGGGTCCAGGCGGGGATAAAGGTCTCTTGTTTTTTCTGGAAAGTCAGCCAGGAAAGGCCCCAGGGGATGAGCATTACTCAGGTTTAAGGATACGTGTGGTACATTTTGCAAACTCCCCCCGACGCACCCCTTTTGCATTCTCTCTCTCTCTCTCTTTTCTCTCTTCTCTCTCTCTTTTCCTCTCTCTCTCTCTCTCTCAATTCCCAATAAAATATACACACAGACAGTTGTGTGACCATGTAATATCAAGAGAGCTAAGAACTGTCGAGGTATGTGACTTGAGTTGTATAAAAAGCTATTTGTGGCGACAAGTACAGCCTATCACGGTAGATGAAAAACTGCCTTTTATAACTTATCTTGTCATTTTCAGTGTGATTTACCATACAAAATGATAATCCTCGTGGCCCATTGCTTAGTAGTAATACCACCACCTTCGCTCATAATCGAAAAACCCGGGTTCAATCTTGGACGAGTTGAGATGTATGAGCAAGTCTCAGCATCTTGTATACAGCCCTATTCACGTAGCAGCAAGTGTGTACTGACTGGTGTAGGATAACTTCTCTTAGTGTGTCCTAGTAGACCAGATATGCCGTCTTTGCTTTTGTAAAACTCAAGGGGACTCAGCATTTCCCGTGTACTCGTCCACTGGGAGCTTATTTATAAATGTACACGATAAAGAACAGAATAATTTACCGTAGAGAACAATAATTCACCACACAAAACAATAATTCACCATACAGAACAAAATTACACACAGAACAGAATAATACACGAGAGAGAACAGAAACACAATCCATTACCTCACCATATTGCACATGTGTGTGCCATGCATTGGCATTTCACCCGTTTGGGTAAAAGGCATTCAGATTGAAGATTTGTCTGCACATTATGTCCTCTTACCATTTTTTAAAAGTACGGGTATCGCACCTTTAATTAAATACAGACTTCCGATGATGGTGTTATAGCTCCTAGGTCACTTGAGGGAGTTCAGCTGTAGCGTCTCGACCTCCTGGATCAGTTTACCTGAATTCTCTTCCGGAGGTCCCCGCGGCCCGGTCCCAGACCTCTTGACGATTTGAGGTATAAAGGTTGTAGAGGCGGGGATACCTTTCTGATCTTGCAGAGGCCGAAACATTCTATCAGTTTAATATTCACGGGAAACGCTAAACCCGTAAGAGTCGTACAGCTCTTGGGGAAAGGGAGGTATCAGGTTTGGTTCGAGAAAGGTAGGGGTAACTCTGGTTCCTCGGACCAAGAACCGTTCAGTATCAAGGCATCCTCTCCCCTCTTGAAGAGATATCATCAAAATTAGATACACTACATTGTTCGGCTACCCTGGTTTATGTCATGTTCCAATGCTACATTAATGGTTTTTCTTTTTATATTATATTATATATTATATATATTATATATATATATATATATATATATATATATATATATATTTATATATATATATATGTAAATGATGATTGGCGTTGTCGATAGGCAACTTGCGTTTTACTTCGTTAAATTTCTTATCGGTTTGCTAATATTAGTATTATATCTATCTGTAAACGTACAGATGCTATTTTATTTATTTGAAGTTAGTGTATATAACGCTGTAAAGCGTGTATTTAACAAACTAGCAAATTGGGGGAGGGGAGAAATAGGACCGTAACACGTCTGGCAACGAGGTACCTGGGCAGACCCAGAAAACCTTCAAATCTGCACAAGTATCACTGTTGAGAAAATGAATTGATACTGGAGAAGACAGGAATTTATCTCACGAGTGTTGCTGCTGGGAGTACAAGAGGAGTATATAAAATGAGTGTTTGTGATGAAAGGTTTTAACCGAAGTTGAGGTGGACATTACAGTAGAATTTTTTAGGAAACGTTTCCACCAGTGGGTTCATCATTAAACAAAGGAAAGGGGAAAAAGGAGGGAGTTGAAAAGGAATTATCCTCAGCTGGAGTCGGAAAAAAAGTGTTATCCCCAGAGTGGGTTTTTTCAAGAGGGGGTTTTTTGGAAATGCAATCAGGGGGTGTAAAATTTCGAAGGGGGTTAGGAGAGTTAAACAGGAATTTTCATCCATTTGCTGTGAGAAAAATTTTCAGTATTATATCGATTATTTTTTCAAAGAAATTTAAGGGGAGGCTGCTAAAGAAAAAGGGAGGTTTTTTTAACGAATGTTTAAGGAAAGGGGTTTATCCCGGCCGGATAAAAGCACCTTAAGCAGTGGCTTACAAGAATTCTCCCAAAATTTTTTAAAAATTTTAAGGCAGCCCCGATAAAAAGAAAAAAGAAATTTCGTTTTTTCAATTTAAAAAATTATTCGGAAAAGTTTTCTTTGGGGTCCCCGGCATTTAGAATCTTAAACACAGCACAAAACCCAATCATTTACAAAAATACCACCCCCCATAAAAAAAAATTACAAAAAACCACACAAACAACACCCCCAAAAAACCCCCAAACACAAAACAACAAACTTACAAAAACGCAGGGACACAAAGGACCAAAACATTTGGGGGCAACCCCACAACACACCACAACTTTTAATCACACCCCAGGGGCAAAAAAAAAAAAACAACACAAACAACAACAACACCAACAATACAAAAACACAAAAAAACCCCAAAAACATTTCCCAAAACACCAACACCCACATAAATAATGAACCCCGGATACCCATTTTCTGATTTGAACACTTTAAAAACCCGGTTAAGAGAAAACTCCAATTTTTATTTGGCTGGAATTTCGACCCAAACCTTTAAGACCAATAAGAATTTTTTATTTTTGACATTAAATATTTATTCTAAAACAAACCCCCACAAACCACACCACAACCCAACCCCACACACAACCCACCCAAAAACACACACACCCACACACCACAACACACACAACCACACACCCAAAAACCACACACCAC